CACATACGCACTCATTACGCCACTACGATTCTGAATGGAAGTCGAGTGCGGGGCGCATCCCTCAAACGGGATTGATTAACGCCAAAAACTTTATCCTTTATCCTTTCTGTTTTGTTTACTTTTTTATTTATCTGTTTCACCTGTTCAATGCGCCAGCTGCTGTGACACAGTGAAATATATCGTTGAAATGAAACAAGTAGCACTCCAAAACATCGCATAAATATGGAAATATGAATCTGATTGAAACACCATCCTGCCACGTAGTAACTCTGATATGACCAGAAAAAATCACTGAATACATTGGATACACGAAGGGTCCAGAATATGAAATAGTTACCCATAACCAGTATATCCACGATGCCCTGAAATAATTTTTGATACTCGGTATTTTGTGATAATGATATGTCCTGAAATACCTAATAAATTGATATTTGTGATAATGATAATAAACATTACAGTTTCGGGTCAGATGGTATAGAGGCAGGTGGCGCACTATCACTGGCAAGGTCATAGTTTCGTATCTCAGAACGATATCCGCCTAGGCCAACCAAGTCTTACATCCCTCTGGGTTCGGTTAATTGATACCGGACTCCTTTGGGAGAATAGAAGTACTGAGTTGTTCTTCAGCTGGCAACCACAAGTCTTTGTGTAAGCCATATGCACATTCAAAGCGCCACTATGATTCTGATGGAGGTCAAATGTGGGGTTCATTCCAAAATGGGATTGATTGGCACAAAAGTATTTTAGGGTTTAGATCTCAATACAGTGACATGTTCCCAGAAAATGATAATTTTTATAGACCCCAGCGATCTTCTGTTCTCTTTTTTCTTCAAAGAAGCGCTTCGCTCTACAGGGCCCTACTTACGTAAACTGCACCCATTCTACCCAATCTTATTATGTTTTTCATTCCGTTCACGGGTTTGAAAAGCTAAATATACCCAAATTTCAACAAACAGTTATGCTGACTGTACCTGAGAAATTATGAGTAGGTAAAACGTTCTTTGTGCATGGTTACGTTTCCATTCTTTGACGCATACTATCATAATCAGTAGGTAAAATGGAAGAGAAATTACATTCGTCACGGTGAATACTACCTGTGACCAGAGCATCACCGCTTCTGAAGGGGAATATTTGAAATTATTGAAATGATTATCATTATGTTATGGAATGCAATAGAATCTCGGCTGAGAACCACGATCAAATAGTTGAACATCCAAGTTTACCCAATTTTTGTGGAGCAGATAAGAGGAAAACGTTGCGACTGAGTACATACATTACTACACTACTTACTTGTATGAGTATGATTAGTGAGTAAAAAAAGGAAAAAGTAGAACGAATAGTACGAGATGTCTCCCAATCAGTAGACTATAGCACTATAAAACCTAGAGGGAGAAAAGAGGGGTAGGGGGGAGGGGGAAGGGAGAGCTCTTTGAAAAATGCAGCCTGACATGTTTCAAACAATGTCTAAACATTTAACCAGGTGGAAAGGACCCAGGGTATCTGCTGAATATTGAAATCATTACCCACTTATCACCTGCTTAAGACAATTATTTAAACAAAATTACTTCCTGGTCTGGTACCCAGCAAGAGAAGTATAGGTGTGGTGCCAGGCAGACTACAGTAAATCACCTACCCAGAAGTCCTCCCAAGTATGGAGTAATAAGTGATTTCTGAGGTGTTTATGAATTATCGTAGTAGTTTTCAATCATATCTACATGTACTATATGAGAGTAGGACAGAAATTAAATTATGAACATGCCAAAGCTCAAATGGGATGTTTACGACTTACTACTACCTTACTTACTACATATAGTTTTGAGTCAAAGAGCTTTGGCCTCTTGTAATTATATTTACCTCTCGCACATGAAACAATCTATAGGTAATATATGCATCGATTGGTTTTTCAATTTTGGTAGACCTCGAACATGGCGCTGGAGGATTCACTGAGGGCTGGCCAGGGTTGAGCATCTACTGCCCATGATCCAGGCGTCAGCGCGATCGGTAAAGTGTTTTTCGGCAGGGCCCAAACAACTAAAATGATCTCAATTTTACCCTATAACTTTCCTAACTATTTACTGGTGGTCTGGGATAAATTAGTGATAACGGGAATTCAGGTAAATGAATCAGGTGCGTTACGATCAGGTCCACAGGTAGACCCAATGTGTCCACGGAAATTTGCAGACGGACTGTAATTGACTTTATTCGACGGATATAATAGAATTTTCAGCAAATACGCATGCAGTCACGAAAACTTGCAAGAATTAATAGGATTGTATGAATATCGCGTGACAAACAAGGTCGTGAAGTAGTAAGTAGTGGGTGCCGGTGGGAATGAAATTAGTATGGGTCTTGGAGGTACAGAATAATGGGATCTCGACAATGGGATACTTTCACATAGATTATACTGTAGAGGACTGTATCAGACGATATCAGGTCTATCAAACGCCCCTATAAATGCTGGAAGGTTCCAACAAGTGAGCCTCATTCTAGCTTCATAACTTCCGTTTACTCACGATTACAGCACTCGGCATGGCCCAAGCACAGCGTAGGTTCCTTTAAAAATTGAAGATGCCCAAACACATTGAGCCCCGACCAGGAGAGCTGCATGTTTCGGACGTGGATCCACCATAAGTAGCCTTTTGACAGCCTGGCTGATCACCTCGCCGAGCATCTCCGTTGGAAAAGTTTGGGACCACGGGAATTCTATTTTGGTAAAGATTACTGGGTGGTGTGAGGGACTGCTGTAAACAAGCCGGTAGGTCGAACGAGGTCTGTGGTATTTTAACGGGACATTTTGGTGCAATATTTGTTATATAGGTTACGGTAGTCCCATTAATGCACAACTTTTCCAGGCCCAAAACGGTGTTCTCTTATTTCATGGATTGGTTTACCCAAACCAAAGCTTCCTTTTCCCTTTCTTATTTCCTCCTTAGGTTATATTCTAGGATTCAGGCTACTTCATTTATTTTCAATCGATTAGAGAGTTGTTTAGAGATGGTTCCTGGCCTGGCAACGTTGGGTGTGAACGATATTATAGCAAATTGGAAAATCGAACAGAAACTTGGAGAAGGTAGCTTCGGTGCTGTGTATAAGGTATGTTCGAACCGACCCAAACTTTTGACCAGCTATTCCATGCTTGTATAGCGCCGCTCCCGTTATCAGGTAAGATTTATAATGGTTATTGTCTTTCTAAGAACAATCGATATTCGTTGTTCACGTCTGCGATGAAATTCGAGTCGAACGTTCTAAAATCAGACAAAAAAGGTCTTATGAAAGAAAATATCGAACGGGCCAAAGTGATGTAACGGTCCGTTCTGGATAAAGGTCGTCTGATTTGTTGTGATGACCTGATACCGAAAGTTGCCCATTCGGTAAGGAAGTAGTTCAGACGCGACAATCGGAACAATTCAAGCATAACACCGTTGAAAGTGCGTGTGCATGATCCTTCACCATGCAGGAATTCAGCTGAGGATCCTCCTCCGTCACAGGATTCGCTCTTCTTAGAACTTGTCTTAACCTCTTCCTATTCATAGCATCTTCTGCCTTTACTGTGTTGGCGCCTAGATTCTTCTTGATCACTCTCCGCCAGCTGATCTTTGGTTCTCCTCGCCACCGTTTGTCTTGAACCACGAACTCCATCGCATCCCTTATTAGATGACTCGGTTATTGAAGACGCTGATCTCTCATCTTTACTTGAACAAAGGGCTGTTCGCATGGCCACCCCCCCCCCCCACGTCCTCGTTTGTGATCGCTCCACTCTGCTCGCGTTCAACGGCAGGTCTCTATGAGCATCAGCATGTCAGTAGAGTGAGGTTTCCTCCAATAATTTCCGTCTACAACTCGGCTTGCGCTGCTGAAGGGCATGGAGTTGGGCTCACCACTGTCATGATCCTCCTGATACACCGTCTATCGCAGGAGAAACCAGCGAATTTCGTTTGTTCCGCTCATGTGGCGGTTATTCCGGCCTTACATCCTGTCCCATGTTGCTGTCAGCGAAAAAGTCACTTCCCGAATGTTGGAAGTTCTCTACCTTTTCGATGTCTTCTCCATGGCTGTCCACCATACTCTGTGACCTCGTTGGAATCGGGAAATTTGATGTCCACCGCGTATAGCTGGAGCCCTTTGGTCAGCTCCTTCTGCCTTTTCTGCAGCTCGACCTAAAGCTGTTCTAAACTATCCGCTATCAAAAAATGTCATCAAGGTAGGGGACGGTCCTCGGTGATCCTTGCATGGGTCCGTTTCTGGGTTCCAATTATAAAACCATCCCAANGACTGTATCAGACGATATCAGGTCTATCAAACGCCCCTGCTGATAAATGCTGGAAGGTTCCAACAAGTGAGCCTCATTCTNGTCTCCCTATATATAAGATAGGGAGACACTAGGAGCTCCTATTTAGACTCACAAGGGTGGCGGGTTGCGAGCAAAGCTTCGGTCTCGGACAGATCCCAACCCGTACTTGTCTCCCCGGGCACTGCGGCGAAATAACAGCAGTCAGCAGTACGATCGAGCTCCTACTTAGGTTTTGTTAGTCTACTATGCATTACACTATTATGACTGTAGTTTTCGAGCCCAAAAATGGATTGCAGAAGGGCAGATTTTTCCGATTCGTTCAACACGGTTTTGGTGGGACTCTTTCACCTCAGAGCTGGGGTAACAGTGCGAGACAACTAACAAGTATCTAGTTGCTTATTCTGATGTAGTTCTGTCACTTGGAAGTGGCCGACGAAACCGAAAGTGCGTAATACGATTCCTCCATGGCCGAGATATGTGCCATAGTTGTCTGAGTTTTGGCAAATACCTGCCTTTCCAGGTCTCTGACATCACCTCACCCACACATACTGCTTATGCGCTTAAAACCGAACGAGTCAACTCACCAACGAAAGTACTCAAAATGGAGGTAGTCGTCTTACGGTAAGCGTGAAAATTCAATGAACTCTGGTGATATCTCACTTAGGGGAGGGGGAGGGGTTCATCACCGATGAAGCTTTTCGGGTCCTCCATACTGTGGGAAAAGAGTAGAGACGGATTCAAGAAAGCTCATGTAATGAGCGGAGTCCGGTTTTAGCTACATTCAGTTTTTGTCAAATTCCCGTCAAATATTGACTCCCAAGCACATCGCCTCGTAGGACTTTTGGACAACGGGGAAAAGGCAATTGAGATCCAACTAATTGGTCAAATCGAACAACCTCCAGCTTCCACTAATGAAAATCAGTGCCTGAAAATCACCGATTTGCAATTTCTAACTCATAACCATAGGCCACAGTCAGATCAGATTCTGGTCGTATCAGCCGCCCGCCTTTTATTCANGTGCAGACAGAAGTATCCTTATTGTTATCTTAAAACCTGCTCGAAGGTGCAGTCTACGATAAAGCTGGTTCCTTTGACTTCTCTCTGAAAAAAAACGTCCTAAATATAGCGTAAAAAGGGTCGCGAATCCAGCTTAGCTGTCATACACACCCATAAGCGGACGAGCTTTCACGGCGTTGTGAAAGATGTAGAGGTTGCACTATTCGTACCGGAACGCACACGTCGCAAACGGCCTATTGTAGCCGGTTGTACGCAATGACTTGCTTAGCTCGTCCAAATACCCTTCAATGGAACTTTTATAGTCACAAGCTCGTCCAACCCCCTTTTTTGGCACCTTATATTTCTCCAAATAAGCCAGTTTTCGCGTTCTCTTCGCCAGTTTTGCCCTATTCTAGACTATTACTATTCATCTAAAACTGGATGCACCCAAATTATCGTGAACTGTGCCTTTGCAGAATGCTGCAATTGCTCACTACTCTTTTCATAGAGGAAACCGATCGATTCGGGTATTTTTCAGGGCACTGAAAAAAGCAAAAGCTACTCATTTCTGCGATATCTTAGATTCTGGACGAGCACTCGGCTTCAACTTCATCATTATGACACTTGTAGGAGCTACTCTATTGGTAAGGGCTTAGTTTAGTTTTTTACGAACTCAAATCTTCCGTTGAGAAAAGTCTCCTGAGGGCTACTTCCCCCAGACTGTCTAGAGATCCGTCATGATAACGATTCCTCTGAAGGAGACTCTTTTCCTCAATATAAGTGCTCTAGATTTCAGAACAAAAGTCAAAGTAAGGCTTCTCCCTTGGGGAATGCTCTAGGCTATATTTTGAAACATTTTATTCATTCTTGACCTTCAGTAATGTGTTATAGGAGCTTCGAAAAAGTAATAAATTGAAATATAATGCATTCACAATGGGTTGTGCATTATCAGTCGGAATTCAAACTTTGGAGTCTATACAAGAGCTACACAATATCGGGTAATACCCAAAAGTTAATTTGAGTAGTTGTATTTCTTAGTTCTCCTTTACTAAGCAAAAAATGACAGATCGTCGTAGAGTCTTGGTGGAATATCGGAAATCAGATGATAAATTTTCTGACATATGAAACACTATCAAATGCCCCCATGTTTCCTACTCAAAGTTGAATCTATGGCGTATGCTGAAAAAATTAGGCGATTGGAGCCCTTTCGTCTTTTTGAGTTCTATTTTCTTTGGATACATACTGCTCGGGTATCGGAAAGTGCATAGCTAAAAAGCCCAGCATGCTTGAATGAGTGGCTACGCCTACCGGAAAGGCCACGCCCATCAGTGGACGAGAATGTCACACAAGGAGAAATAAGTCCTCAATGCGCTGAATCAGCGTTTTATCTGGCTGCAAGCTAAAAACAATGATGAAAGCAATGATTGATGTGTTTTTTTGTCAGCCTTTCTTTTTGGATTACCGTATGGATAATTACAGTATACCGTACTGTACTTTCAGCTACCTACATCGAGATTTAAAGCCAGCAAACTTTGCCATTTGTCTGAATGATGCACGTAAAATCTATCTTTTGGATTTTGGGATGTGCAGACGATACATCGTCAACGATCATACCATTCGACGGCCGCGATGGTCGTCTGGATTCCGAGGAACTCAAAGGTCTGTTCTCTGGTGCAACCATCTGTTCATCACCCACAACACTTAACCATTCAGGGAAAACCTAAGTGGGTACTCACCAGCAAGTAACGTTGTTACAGGTACGCTCCCATAAGCTGTCATATATCACGAGAAATGGCCAGAAAGGATGACC